GTATTCTACCTTTAATTCCTAGCCTACATGTCAGTTCTTAATTTCCAGAGCACTTCAAAATCTCATGGGCAAAAATTAATGCTCCCTTCTTTGTGTTCCTATACCACTTTGTTCATACCTCTATCCTAACACTTCTCCTACCACTTGGAAAGTATCCATTTAGATTTTTTTATTGGGGAATTGGGGAAGGGAACAGTGTTGGGGATTTGGGGAAGGGAACATTGTGTTTTTCCAGGACCCATCAGTTCCAAGGCAAGTTGTTGTCCTTCAATCTTAGTAATGGAGGGCGCAGCTCAGCTCCAAGTCCAGTCGCCGTTCTCAATCTAGTTGTGGGGGGTGCAGCCCACCATCATACCAGAGTGGAACCGGCAGCCTTGTTGTTAAGAGGATGCGCTCTCATCAGCTGAGCCATCCGGCCGCCTGTTGGCAGCTTCGCTTGGGCACAGCTCACTGCCCCATGTGGGAATCAAACTGGTGACCCTGTTGCTCAGAGCTCACGCTCTAACCGGCTGCGCCACCCAACTGGCCCAAGTATCCGTTTTCTTTCTTTCTTTTTTTTTTGGGAGGAATTGGTGGGGAGGGAACAATATTGGGGAATCGGGGAAGGGGAGCAGACAAGTTGCCGTCTTTTTGTTCTTCAGTCTAGTTGTGGAGGACGTCGCTTCACTGGCCCATGTTGGTGTTATCATTGCGCTCTTCCTGGGTGAGGCAGATCAGTCACTGGCCATTGGACGGCTGCTCACAGTGGCTCATGCAGCTCACACCAGCTGCTCGCTGTTCACGCTGGCTGCCAGCCACTCACGGTAGCTTACGGCAGCCCACTGCAGCCCCACTGCAGCCTATGCTGTTACCAGTGACTCACGGCACCCCAGCTCCAGGTCGAGCTGTTGTTCACCATCTTAGTTGTAGAGGGGCTCAGCGTCACTGGCCCATGTGGGATCCGAACTGGTGGCCTTGCTGCACAGAGCTTGTGCTTCCAAGCCAACTCTTAACCAACGAGCCACCCGGCTGGCCCCCAAGTATCTATTTTCTTATCTTAACACCTATACATTGCAAACCAGATGATGAAGCCTGTACCACACAACTCTATACTACTGTTATGTCTGTACTGCGATTGTCTTCTCCCACTTCGTGGCTTGTCTTTTTTCTTTTTATGCCTTTTGATGAAGAGAAGTTCTTGAATTTAATGCAGTCCAAATTTATCAAAGTTTTCCATACAGTTTGTGCTTGTCATTTAATAAACATCACCCTGAGATCATAGGATGTTTTCCTTGATTTTCTTTCAAAACTTGTGGTTTTGCTTTTTTCCTTTAAAGTCTTTAATCTACCTGGAATTAGTTTTTGTGTGTAGGTGAGTGAGGGATCTAACAGATAGCTAGTTGTTCCAGTTTATATACTGAATAGGTTATCTGCCT